TGTTTATATTTTATTATTTGCTGAGATTATTGCACGCAAACCGGGTGTAAACAGATACCAAATCGGTCTCTTGGATCCCTTGATGTCCCTTTTAAACAAATTCTGGAGCCATGCAACCAATTATGGAGTTCTCAATCTGCGTTATTGCGTTACCTTATGTTATTATGATCATTGTAAGACAATGAATGACAAATAATGATTGACTTTTGATTCCACGTATTTTTTAAATTCGGAATCTCATTTTCCGCAAATCTTGTTTGAATTATTAAAGAGGAATTTAATTTATCTAATACATGAATGCATTCATCATTATAAATTATTACCAAGACCACTTTAACCTGTTCATATTTAACCTGCATTCTATTTTTATATCAATCCTTCATCCGAATTAACCAAAAATATCCTGAATTATGTATAACCGATTAATAATTACGCAGCTATTAGGTAGATGATTGATTTTCTTTTTTTGAAAGACAAGTGTGTTTCCGATCGGTTTTTCTGCGTCGAATTGCTCACATGATTCACGACGGATCCATTCTCGATCGGGCATCCTTAACCTAGGGTGGGGTGTAGACCTTTATCCTAAACCGGGGTGTACTATAAGATTTGATGAGGTTCATTGGCCCGATTTGTTTGTATAACATATATCTTAGAATTTTCGCGATGTTTTCAAAGAAAAAATAGAACGAAGAAATATTCAAAACAAATTTTGGAGTATTTAGTGGAGTGTTTTAAAGGAAAAGTGTGAAGAAAATATTTCTTGCAAACTTTTTTTTTTTTTTCATTTTAGAAGATTTATTATTGAATAAAACATATGATTTATTTTTTTATCATAAGTTTTCAATAAAAAATATTTCGACATATTTTATATTTAAAAAATTGGTTCAACCATACAAATAAAAATAAATAAAATTAAAAAAAAGAATCTCTTATTTATATATCAGATCTTATCATACACCCCGGTTTATGCACTTACTTGATACCTTTTGATCATGTGCAAAATCATTTATGGCACAGCCAAGCACGTATTAACAATGACATATTGTACAAACTTCCATATCGGAAGTACAATTATCGGGTGTTTTTTCAAATCTTGAATTTTTCCTCCCGATATATTCCGCCTCCCGCATTCGGAAAATCGGGACATACGCATAATCTGTACCACTCATTTACCCAAAAATTTTGGTCAATCATTTGAAATACTATCGTCCATAACTGTCCCAAAATTTTTTTTTTCGATTCAAATGAATTGCGTTCCACTACCCTTATTGTCTTATTGTGCTATAAAAAAAAAAAATCACGCACTTTGTCAAAAATTTTTGTCAAAAACGGTCATTTTATAGAATGTATCATTCTCCCAAATAGCTAATCAATTATGTGCCGATCATTTAACTGATTTTATAAATTACCTTTTTTTTTGGAACGGGGGGGGGGGTGTGTGGTTTGGATGTCTAATGATTTATTTATCACGTTCTTCAGTATCCAGAGTTTATATAAAGACAGAAACCTTGCTGGCTAATAAACGTATCTTGCAACTTTATAAAACTTTCGCAACTATGCCTCCTGTTGCCCCAAGCAAACAATATGATTACTTGGTTATTGGTGGAGGAAGTGGTGGTTTGGCTTCGGCCAGGCGCGCTGGCTCTTATGGTTTTAAGGTTGGTTTGGTAGAGTCAACTGGGCGTTTGGGTGGAACTTGTGTGAACGTCGGCTGTGTTCCAAAGAAGGTCATGTTTAATACCGGTACGTAAACGTTTTACAGTATACACCTTTAAATGGTCAATTAGCTTCACAATTCATAAATAATTTGGTTCCTCTTTTTTTTTTATTTTTATTTTTATTTTTTTTTACAGCTTCCATCGCTGAAGCTCTCCATGATGCAAAGCAATATGGATTTGATTTGCCATCAATCCCAAATTTCAATTGGAATTACCTCAAACAAAAGCGAGACGCGTATATAAAACGTCTTAATGGGATTTATTCTAATAATCTAGCGAAGGACAAAGTTGATTACATTGAAGGGAAAGCTAGTTTCGTAAGCAAAAACGTTTTGAGAGTGGAACATAATGGAAGCGTTGAAGAGATTGAAGCAAAGAAAATATTAATTGCTACAGGTGCAGATATTCATCTATATTAATGATTTATTTTTTTTTAAAAAAAAAATTCCATTCCTTAAACAAACTTAATTTGTTAAAGGTGGTCATCCGCGTATTCCTCATGAGATACCTGGTGCGGAACTTGGTATTACAAGTGATGGTTTCTTCGATCTTGAAGAACAGCCGAAAAAGGTCATGGTTGTTGGAACCGGGTATATAGGCGTCGAATTGGCCGGTATCTTTAATGCCTTAGGTGAGTAAATAAGATCATTTGCAAGTTATCAGTTTTCGCATATTTCCTTGATTTTGATTAACTTTATATGTAGGCAGTAATGCTACGTTGGTCTCTCGTTCGGATGAGATTTTACGTACTTTTGATCCAAGAGACCGATTTGGTATCTGTTTACACCCGGTTTGCGTGCAATAATCTCAGCAAATAATAAAATATAAACA